GTGTCTGCATCAGCTCATTAAACAAACATCATTATTTAGAGCCAATCTCCTGCTTCCCCACCACCCCCAAACCCTTGCACATGATTTCTATCCAATTAATTATTCAATGCCCCTCTTGAAAGCCTCAATTGAACCTTCCTCCACCACTTTTCCAGGCAGTGCATTTCAGACCCTCACCACTCGCTGTGTGAAAAAGCTTTTCCTCGCTTCATCTTTCCTTCATTTGCACGCCACTTTAAATCTATGCCCTCTTATTCTTGTTCCTTTTCATGAGTGGGAACAGATTCTCTCTATCTACTCTATCCAGTCCAATTTGGGCCAAATTGCTGGAAAATTGGAATAGATTAATATAGGATATCTGGTCAGTATGGATGAGCTGGACCAAAGGATCTGTTTCCATGCTGTACGACTCTATCATCATGACTCTATCAAATCTCGTGTCAGCCTTCTACTCTCCAAGGAGAAAAGTCCCAAATTCTTCAATCCATTCTCATAGCTGAACCTTCTCATTCCTGCAACCATTATTGTAAACTGTTTCTGCACTGTCTCTCAATGCATTCACATCTTTCCTATAATGTGGCACTCACAACTGTAGACAATAGTCAGCTCAGGTCTAACAAGTGTCTTACACAGATTCAACATCACCTCTTGCCATTTGTATTTTATGCCCCTATTAATAAAGCTGAGGACACTGTCTGCTTTGCTTGTGATTCTCTCCACTGACTGACCACTTCCAATGATCTGTGCACATATATATCCAGGTCGGTCTGCTTCTGCACCCCCTTTAGAATTGCATCCCCTATTTCATATTGTCTTTCAGTGGTCTTATGATCAAAGTGCATCACCTTACACTTCTCTGCAATGAACCTCATTGACCACCTATCCACCCACTGCACCGTCTTGAGTTTTGGAGTTCCACACTTTCCTCCTCACCATTTACAATTTTTCCAAGTTTTGAGTCAATTATATTGGGTTAACTCAGTTGTGAAATATATGGAAATGCAACCCCCTGCATGTTTCCCTCCATGCACTCACCATCCTGACTTGGAAATATATCACCATTCTTTCACTGACACGAGGTCAAAATCCTGGAACTCCTTTTCTAACAGAATTATGGAGTACAGTATTCCCTGCCACGATGATGGCTTCTGGGGTCTGTACGTGACCTGACTTCTGGGATTGGTGTCGATGCGTCCGGGGTGAGGGGGTGTGCGTGCGTTTGTGTGTGTGTGTGTTTTGTGCAGCTCACAGAGAATGTTGATT